AAAATCCAAGTTAAAGTTATTCATTAGTATTTTATAACAACTCCTACTTTATACATGTTCAATGTTAATATGATGACAATATTGAATGGTAATTAATATGATGAAAATGAGAAACGTGTGTAAGGAAAAAAGTCCAATTTCGTTAATATGATGACTATTAAATGGTAATTAATCTGATATTGAACAATATAAAGAAGGGAATAAATACCAATAATTTCCAGAATTCAATATTTGGATTACCATTTCGAAATCCAAATTAAAGTTATTCATTAGTTTTTTAAAACAGTTCCTACTTTATACACGTTCAATGCTTTTTCTTATATAATTTGACGATATTCATTTTTTTTTCTTACTAGTTCATTATTTTTCTTACCTAATTTGACCCTGTTGATTTTTTTATTCCATAACATGTAATTTGTTATTCCCATGGGATTGGCGGTATCAGATTGATCAAAGTTAAGAGCAATATTAAAAAAAAACTTTTTATCTTTCTTTCTTTATTTTTTAACTTTTCAAAAATTTTAAAAATAGCAGAGGTGAAGATTAACGACCCGTTTGAATGAATTTTTTTTTCAAAAATTGCATTTTATAAGTAAAAAGATATATTTTTCACTATAAGTTATTTTAGATTTCTATTATAAAAAAAGAAAAAATTACAGTTACTTATATAATTATATATAATAAATAAAATTTACTGAAATGTAGCTGGGGCTCCGACCCTACCTAAGCATAATGTGGTTCCGCCACTGATGGGCAAGAAAACAAAAAAAAAACCGTCTAACGTCCAAAAGAATGGCTCCACACAATGGCGGAGCCAGAATTTAACTTTAGTTGGGGCAAAAAATTTGACATGTCAAACATTTATCATAATTACACATACCTTTTATTTTTTAATAATATAATATATGATGATTTATATTATTCATTTAAAAACATATTCTGATATCAATTAGAATAATGTTTGGTTCATTACTTATTATGTTGTGGGAGGAAAGTGAAATTTTATGTTTGAAATGTTTATCGAAAAAGTTAGTGCATTTTTGTATGTTTGCTCTGATATATAATCAACGACAATTAGGCTGCGCATGACAATCATTCTGATTCCTGGCACTGTTTCTGAAAAGGAATGATTCTTTTCTATTTCTGTGCCTTGGAACAATTCTGAGAATCAGAATTACGTTTGTTAACATATTTTATTTTTATTCCGAGAATCAGAATTACGTTTGATAACACATTTTTTTTATTCCGATAATCAAAATTACGTTTGATAACACAATAAAAATCTATTTCTTTACTTTTGTTTATAGATTTCATCAACTGTATAAAATTGCAAATGACAATAGATTTTAACCGAAATACCAAATTTTATATTTAAAAAATTATATAAAAATTTATAATATTTTATTATATAGTTTTTTTTACGACAATTGCTAATATATAGTTTTAACTATTATTTTTCAATCGTCTTCACAATTCACATTTTTTTTTCTCATTCCCTTGACCATTTTATTTTTTAATATCATATGCTAATATATAGTTGTCATGCCTTAACCTCATCTTTGGATTGAGAGGAGAAAATGGAAAAAAGTTTTTAAAGTTTCAAATCTTTTCTCAATTGACTGAAGAGAAGAAAAATAAAGCAACTACAATAATAGAAATCAAAAATTAAAAAAAATTAGCGTCATCTCTTTCTTAATCTTTTCTCTCATTTTCTTCCATGTCATTAAAAATTTATTAGGGCCGTTTGGATGGATTTTTCTCTCTCAAAAAGTTGTCTTTCTTCAGAAAAAAAAAGCATTTATGAAAAAATATGTTTGGACGCCTGCTTTTAAAAAAAGCAAAAGTCATAAAAAAAAGTCAAAAATCTATTTATTTTTTTAAACTGAAAATTTTAACTTCTAAAAATAACATAAGTCAAATATTTTTTCAAAAACTAAATATTTTTTAAAAATTTAATTAACTTTAACTTTTATAAAAAGCACTTCTAAAATAAGTAAGGTATAATTTTTATTTTTTTTGAAAACTCATCCAAATAAACACTTATTCTCGTTGAAGTGAAACAGAGCACTTTTATTATTATTGTGAAGGAATGGAAACACCCATTATCAAGTATATATTATTTTATTTTTAAAAAATTCCTGATATGAATTAAGATAAATCAAATAAAGGAAATTCAAGAAAAACAAAGTGAGGTATTGGATGAAGGAAATTCCTAAGATAGAAATTAAATAGAAATTAGGGAACAAATTAGGGAGAAAGTCAAGAAGAATATCAGAAAATTATGTAAGGAAAAAAGTCCAGTTTCGTTAATATGATGACAATATTGAATGGTAATTAACCTGGTATTGACCAATCATAAAGGGAGAATAAATACCAATGATTTTCAGAATTCAAATTTGAATTACCATTTCAGAATCCAAGTTAAAGTTATTATGCATGTTCAATGTTCAATGTTAATATGATGACAATATTGAACGGTAATTAATATGATGAAAATGAGAAATGTGTGTAAGGAAAAAATCCAATTTGTTATTCCCATGGGATTGGCGTATCAGATTGGATCATTTTCCTTATTAATAATAATTGTTATTTTTTAATTTAAATCACACATCAAATCTTGATTTATTTTTTATATTAAATCACAAACCCAAAACACAGAGGCTTCTGAGTTTAAAAATGTGACACGTGTCAACACCTGACACGTCACCAATGACGTCTAAATTGGGTTTCAATCAAGAGGCAATCACGCCTAATTTAGGTAATTTTATTTTTGAAAAAAATGCATAAGCCATAATTAATTTCAGACCATAAATAATAACTTAGAAGCTTATAGCATTAATCATTAATTTCAAAAATAATATTCTTCTTCCTTAGAGATTTAGAATATTTATTTAATTATTTCCTTTATTTCTACAGATTTTTCAAAATGATTTTTTAGTTTAAGTCACAAATCAAATCTTTATTTTGTTTTCCTTATTAATAATAATTTTAATTTTAATTTTTAATTTAAATCACAAACCAAATTTTTGTTATAATAAAAAAATATTATTAAAAAAAAATTAAATCACAAATCAAAATTTTATTTATTTATTTATATTTAAATCACAAATCCAGAACTCAGAGGCTTCCGGGTTTAACGTTTCTTATAATATTATTCTTGCAAATTTAAATTGTGTTTGTGAGAAATAAAATATGTCAAATGAGATCTCATTGCGTAGATCTCGAAAAGTTATGAGGAATTAAAAAAAGAATTACCTGATTTGGATACCCGAGTCAAAAGTTACGGCCTTCAGAAGTTTTATGATTAAATTATTATTTTTTTGGAAAAAAAATATGACACGTGTCAATATCTGATAAATGACGCCTAAATTAAGTATGATTGCCTCTTGAGTGACGCCCAATTTAGGCGTCTTGAGTGACGCCCAAATTGGTCGTTATATTGTACAATAAATATATAATTATTTCCAAAACTGTAATAAATGCGTAATTAATTTATTAAAAAACATGGACTTAATTTTTTTGGCTAATCCCGTCAAAGCATTTGACGTATTAGGTCTTGAAGTTTGATAACTAATCATGTCTAATTTGTTGTCCTGCACAAGTTTGATAATCAGGTCTTGCTTGGGTTTTTTCTTAAAAAAAAAAAAAGCTAAAAACAAATTAAGTGATAGGACCATGTTTAAATAATGAGTTTGATGTTTGTCATTTTAAATGACATAAGTTATATTATTTTAGGAGAGATATAGAGATAAGAAATGAAAATCATGGGAGAGAAAGTGAGTGATTTTTTTAATTTAAATTTTAAATAAAAAATAATTTCTTGTGTGAATCTCTCTATTAAAATGATGTAACATCTAGAGCGCGGACGAGGGCAGGGAGTAATCGCCGGTGCAAAGGGGCACGGACAAGGAGCGGCTCCTGACAGGCTTCCAGCGTGGGGTTACATGCATGAATGAATCGAATCGACACCCGAAAGAGAAGAATTCCAAAGACTGTGCAGGTATGAGACTGCACAGTTTGAGAATAGCTTATAAGAATCAATTGGTACTACCTATACTAACAAGATGCATCTGCTTTTCGGTAGCCCGGATCGGAAGAACTCCACAGTTAGGTGTGCTTGACTAGGAGCAATTATGGGATGAGTGACCTCCTAGGAAGTTTTCCCGGGAAGTGTGCGAGTGAGGAAAAAGCACACTGAAAAGTCTCGTGTTAGTATGTGGGGATAGTCATTGATTCTTGAAGCGACCGGGCGTTACAAATGACATAACTTTATGTCATTTAAAATGACAAACACTTTCCACTTAAATAATATGGTGTTGAATTTAACTTGCTTTCTACTATGATAGGCACATTTTATGTATCTAATTGTATTTAAAAAGTTATAATTTATTCTAAATTATTTGTCACTTTAAAAAAAATATATTATTTTCTTAGCTCTACTTTATTTTTTTATTTCTACTTATTGGAATAAGAATGATTTAATAGAGTGAAGGTGTAATATAATCAAATAAACTTATATTTTCATTAAATCGTAAAGAATTTAATGAATTATTTAATTTTTGTACAAATCTTTAAACAATGATTATTTTAAAACTAAAAGAATTTGTGCTTTTAAATTTTGTATTATGTACTTTTAAATTTTGAAACAAAACTTTATCGTATTGTGTACTTTTAAATTTTGTATTTTATGTATTTATATAGAAATTTTGACACAACCTATGCTTATCATATCAGGATAAATAAAATTAAAATATATTAAGTATAAATTTTATGAATTTTAATTATCATTTCATTTATGTTTTTATTTTATTTTATTTTAAAAACAAGATATATTTTAAAGTTTTTTTAATAATTGGCATGATTAGATTTAATTTGATTTTAAATATATTAATTTAATATATTACTTTTAAATAATATATTAAATTAAATTAGTAGAGTCATTAATTTGTTGATTGATCCATCACTCCAAGGAGATATAATAATACTAATTCATATCTTTCCAAAGTGATGAGCATGTTTACAAATCGTTCTTGAACATTTCCAATATGTACCGCAAAGAGCATAAGGACATAGGTGAAATTTATAGTGAGGTTGCTACCCTGTTTAAGGATCATCGAGATTTGCTTGAGGAGTTCACTAGATTCTTACCAGATAGTTTCGCAGCACCTTCTACACAGCATGCTCCGGATGCTCGAAATTCATTGCAGCGCTTTAGTGAGCGGAGTTCTATGGCACCCATGATGCGGCAAATGCAAGTATATCGACGAAAGAGGCTTCCTTCTCATGATCGTGAGCGTGATCTGAGTGTTGAACACCCTGAGATGGATGATGACAACACAATGATGAACATGCACAAGAAGCGGAGGAAACGTGAGAGTAAGGATATGAGGATTAATCGTGATCAGGATGAGAGAGAACCTGATCATATAAATGCTCAACAATTTCTTGAGGTATCCATTTCTCCCCCTTTTTAACGGTTTTATTGGATGATTCTTTCTCTCTACATTTTCATTTTCCTAGCTCATGGGGTTGGGTTTGCTAGAACTAATCTGACTCATAACTTATTACCCCAAAGTTATTGCTGATTATTTAGGACGAAAATGTTGTTTTCTGTTAGTTGAGTGTAATGCAGTTTTCTCAATCAACCTAGTTAGTTTGAGTATAAGAAGGAATTGGAGTGAATGTAAACTTATTTACATAACAGAATATAATTTTGTGACTGAGTAGGTTCCTTTTTTATTTTTTATTTTTATTTTTTAAGTTTGTTCTGTTTTTTTTTTCTTTGTACGTTTCGTCTGTTCTAGTATGTGTTTATGTTTGTTGAGTAAATGTAAGTATGAGAGAGAGAGAGAGAGAGAGAGAGAGAGGAGGAGGAGAAAGAGAGAAGAGATCAGAGAAAGTTTCTGAGTGAGAACTGTGTTATTGACTTAAGATTAAACTGATTACAGTGTCCCCCCAGCTCAGCAAATCTAACTTCTAACAGAAACTGAGCTGGCACGAAAAACTTTAATTTAATATATAAGAATGTATTCTACTTTTTTGCCCCTTTCTTTCATTCCCTATTTAGTACAGACGGCTTGTAATTCTTGATTTGTTTTTAAGATGGAAATTGTTATAGGATTCTTTGATGGACAACGATTAAAGTGCCACATTTTTTGTAAAAAATTATCTGAATGTCACATTTTGTAAATTTTTGTTCATAATGTCACGTTACCTAACTCGCTTACAACACCTGGTGAGTTAGGCGTTGTCACATTTAGATGGGCGAACATTATTTATAGAATAAAAAATAATAATATTGTAAAGACTCATGTGAGATTTTTGTCAATATAAAATAATAACAGCAGGGATTTGAACTTGCAGCGCTTTCATGAGAAAAAGAAATCTATCAAGAAAGCTGAAGGTTTTGGGTTGGCTTCAGACTTTTCTTCTAAGGAAGACAAGGATACCTTAAAGAACATGTATAGTCAAGCATTCAGTTTCTTTGAGAAAGTTAAGGAGAAGTTGAACAGTGCTGATGACTACCAAGCTTTCTTGAAGTGCCTTCATAATTTTTTCGTCAGTGAAATAATAAAAAGGAATGAATTGCAAAATTTGGTAACCGATTTACTTGGAAAGCATCTTGATCTTATGGTGGAATTCAATGATTTCCTGGAGTGTTTGGAAAATATTGATGGGTTCCTTGCTGGTGTCATGAGTAAAAAGTCACTAAGATCATCAAAGTTGGAGGACAAAGACAAAGACAAAGAGCAGAAGCGTGAGATGGATGGAGCTAAAGAGAAGGAAAGATACAGGGAGAAGGAGTACATGGGAAAATCCATTCAAGAACTTGACCTCAGTGACTGTAAACGTTGCACTCCCAGCTACCGGCTTCTACCTGCTGATTATCCAATTCCTACAGCTAGTCAGAGATCTGAGCTTGGTGCTCAAGTATTGAATGATCACTGGGTATCTGTGAGTTCAGGAAGTGAGGATTACTCTTCCGAACATATGTGCAGGAATCAGTACGAAGAGAGCTTGTTCAGATGTGAAGATGACAGATTTGAGCTGGACATGTTATTAGAGTCTGTGAGTTCTGCAGCTAAACGTGCAGAGGAATTATATAATAACATGAATGAAAATAAGATCAATATGGAGACTCTGAACCGTATTGAAGATTACTTTACTGTTCAAAATTTAAGGTGCATTGAACGTCTATATGGTGACCATGGTCTTGACGTTATAGACATATTGCGTAAAAACCCAACTCGTGCGCTCCCTGTAATATTGACTCGACTGAAGCAGAAACAGGAGGAATGGAGTCGGTGTCGTTCAGATTTCAATAAAGTTTGGGCTGAAATTTATTCTAAAAGTCACTTAAAGTGAAGCAGCAGAAAGAGGATGATATTCTTCAGTCTACTATTGCAGCTGGAAACAAATTAGTTCGGTATTCATGTGATATGAGAGTATGAATGAGGCTGATGGTAGAGTAACTGAGGTAAAAAATGTTCACCGGACTAGTGTAGCAGCCAGTGATAAAGAAAATGGATTATTTTTTGGAAGCTTCACAAGCTTCCACAAGCAGCCAGTGATTTTGGTTTTTCTGTTTATGTTTACTCACTTCAATTCTTTTTCATTACTGGTTTAATGAATTTTATTCAAGGTTAAAATAATAATAATTAAAATTGGTTCTTTTTCACTTCAATTCTTTTTCACTTCGGTATACGGGGTTCTATTATTTTTGTCACTTCAACCTTTGAATCGGAAAGAACAAACTCAAAAGTTGAGTTTTTTGATCTATCTACAAATGTTATTATTTGTTTGTTTTATAAATCAATATGTAAAAAGTTCGAGTAATAAGGGACTCGATTATATTTAAGTGAAGTCTTTTGTGAAAACGAAAAAACAGACATTAAGAGAATATTGTTCCTTTGAGTAAGTTCACTCGACTCAACTCGAAATAATTGAAATTCAATGTATTTTTTAAATACTAAGAGTTTCTGGAAGAAAAAAAGTTGCGGGTTTTTTTCTACCAATTGGGGCCCTCCCTTCACCACCCCTTTGTTTTATAAAGAACAATGGACTATCAAGCCTCTCAGTTGGGGCGGTTATATTTATTATATTTTAGACGTACCACCCTTACTATCTAATTATTTATCAAAGTCGAAATCAGCAATAGTTTTTTTTTTCTTTCTATTTTTTTATTATTGATTTCAAATTGATATAACAATAACCAATCAAATAATAAGAGTGATAAGTCTAAAATAATAATAAATATAACTTTCTCCGCTTCTCAATTCGCTATAACCTTTTTTTCTCCATCCTAACCAAGTTAGTACTCTCAATTTGCCGTTAAAAGAAAAGAAATTTTAACTTTTTGCAAATTATTTTTCTTTTTATACACAGAAAACTCAGAACTTAGTGGAAGTCAGATTTTCATGTTGAAGAGAGAATTCAGTTTTTAGTTGTAATCAGTTTTTACATTTTGAGCGCTTTAGTTTTCTTTGAGAGTTTCTTGGAGATACATGCATTTTTCTTCTATTTATCAAAGGATTAATTCAAAATCAACAACAGTTATTTTTTTCTTCTATTTTTCTATTGTTGATTTCAAATTAATATAACGGTAACTAATCAGATAATAAGAATAATAAGTCTAAAATGATAATAAATATAACTTTCTCCGCTTCATAATTCGCTATAATCTTTTTTTCTCCATCCTAACAAAATTAGTCTTCTCAATTTGCCGTTGATTTTAGAGTAAATAAAACAATCTGGTGTAATTATGCACGTCAAAATTTTGTTCCGGCATATGTTATGCCATTTGTTTGACATGCACTCTGTTACAACACTATTCTTAAGAAGTAAATAATTTTGAGATCTTCACCAAAAAAAAAAATTATTTTGAGATGATCAACATTATAATCATTTCACTAATTACCACTTTCAAATAAAATACTTACATATTCATCATAGTCTAATGAGGCTACTGTCCTCCAAAGGTCGCCCAAAACTTTTCACCTCATAACAATAATAATAATAATAATAATAATTTGACAGTTGAATATAATATTTTCAATTATATGTTTTTGATTGAGAGTATAAATCGACGATAGAAATATGAATTATTTAAAATAAATAAAAATATATCACTAAACATATTTTTGAAAAAATTATAATTAATTAATGAATATCATGATCCATGAAGAAGTAATTATGAGGTCTAAACAGTAACTTCAGTCATCATAACCATAACTAACAAATATATACAGATTATAATTTATACATAATCGATACATTATTTTGCCGTGTGAAATTTTCCAAGCTCATACTGTTAACACCCACAACCTAACCTACGTAATGCAACATTAATGGTAAAGATCTATTTTAATCCAAAACCTTAATATATTAGGTGATATTACATTAATAATTTTATATCTTTCTAACATTAATCACTATACCACAAGTATATATTTATCATAATACTTTTATTATTACATTTATTATATATTCTTATATAATTCAATTAAGTAATTCAACCAGCAAGTTCAACAAGTGATTCATAGATTGAGCCAATGACTTGTCAACTTAGTATCTCAACCGAATTGATAATCAGTTTAATAACATTGGCTCACCTATTAACAAAATTCTTTTAATCACACATAAACCCAACTAAATATGGGCTCTATATGTACACACACAAAAAAAATAAAAAAATATGAGCTCTACATCACGAGAATTGGTTGCCATAATAAGTCTTAAATGAAACTCCAAATGTGATGAACTCATCTCTAAGACAATCTAAAACAAAGTGCTTTGTGTTAGATGTCATATTGGATCCATTTAGAAGGCCTAACTTATCACTTCATTGAAGGATAAAGCTCTTTTTTATACTTCACTCTTCAGTGACAAAGCCACATTGGGGTTAGCTAGTGCCTTGGCACTAGATAATTTTCAAACTTTTTAGAATTTGTTGGCATAGGTAAAGGCTAAAATTTAGTAGTTATGCAAAACAGATAAAAGGAGCAGGGGATAAATTTTTGAGGAGCTCGCACAAAGATGTTGCAAGATTTCTTGAAGAAGATCCATTCCTTTGTCTCCATTCTGTGTGGATCCCTTACAGTGCTTTAGAAACTCCCTATCTGTTTTAAGAGCTTGTAACCTCTCATAAACATGATCAACCTCCTCTTCAAAGGACACCTTCATACTATCCATTTCAAGTGTAGGAAATGAGTTTTGCATATCAAGTCTTTGTCACCTGGTCTTGATGAAAGCTCAATCAAGTTAAATTCATCAAGGAATTGCTCATTATATCACCACTGCGATAAGTTTTTCCCTCAATGCTTTGAACTCATCTAGAATGGACACCTTATCTTCCTCAAATTCTGCCAATGAATTATCAACAACACTTATATACTTTGCACAGTCTATTGCCATCTCCTCCAAATTTGAAACTGTATCAGCACTTAAATTGTTGTGGCTGCTTTCCTCATGGTTGAAGATGCCATTGTCTTCATCCTTTGCTTCATAGTTAATTAAGATCAATGGTTAGCTCATCCATGTTGCTGCAAGATGAAGAGGAGTCTCTACTTCTTACAATTCCATCTTTTCTTCTCAACACCCTCAATTTCTCTTTTCCTTCATAGTCCAGTATCTTTTTCCTGTGCTCTTCCAATTCCATTTCAAGTTCTTGCTTCTCTTTCTCTCTTTTCATCATTAAATCATTCAAAATCTGCAAAGCTTCCGGATCATACTCTGATTGCTCTTCCATCATTCTTTGGCACTGCAATGCTTCCATTTGCATTGCTGCTTTTTCTTCCTGCCGCCTGGTAATCATTGTCATTGTCTGGTTAGCAGCTATTGCAGAGGCACTTCTCTCTTCTTCTAGTTCCTGATATAAAACACTTAAAGATTCTTTCAGATTTTTAAGATGATTTTAGCCGTTTAATTGTTAAAACTGGATCACCACATTCTGCCTCACTTGCAACACTTCCATCCTCAAAGAGCATCAATTTCCTATTAAGGTAAGGAACAGAAGTTGGAGTTTCATGAGATGAAACAAAATGAAAAGAAAAAAAATAATGTATGATATGTAAAACCTTCATATGTTGTCCTGAGCAATGAACACATTAAAGGCATTGGGAACTTCAGTATCATCATCATTGGTTGAAGATTGATCTTCTTGTATGCATTGACAAGAGCAGTCTGGTTCATGAAATGGAGGCTTATTGGCTGGGGAGAAAAAACTTCTTAAAATTGTTGATATTTTAAATATATTAAAAATGATATCTCATGTAATGTATGCAAACGTATTACATCTACATATGCTAATTTCAATTGATGAACTAGTTACTAGGAAACATCGAAGTGTAAGTTCTAACTTATACTCAAATGCAGAATATGATAGATCATAAATACCTCCCACCATTGCTTTCCTTTTGTTTTGAATAGTTTTTGCAACTGATATGAAAATTTTCTATTGAGTCTTCCAAACTCTTCTCTGCAGCCCAGATGGTGTGCAGCTCTATAGTAGAGTGAGCTCAGGGACTCATGAAGCTGAAGATGCACCCTTTTATAGACTCCTCCATCATAGAGTCTGTTCAAGTGTGCACTGAAGATGGGGTCAATTGATGGCAGACCAAAAACAAAACTTAGTTGATGATTTCAGATGATTGCAGACCAAATACAAAAGTAGGTTAACCACTACAATAAGTGGACAACATTAATAGACCATATACGGTTCTCCATTATCAGTAGAGAACAATATAGGTGGACCACATAAAGTCACACCAGGTCACACCACTAATCACTATTACTTTTACTAACACGAACAACACAATTGCAAAGGGAGTGTGTAAAGTTCTTTTAATTCTTAACACACCTTGTCTATTATCTGCTTCTTCTATAGCTGCTACTGCATTGCTACCTCCATTGGATAAAGCTTGAGACTCACAAAGATTATTCTGAGCAATGAATTCATCAAAAGCAT